TGCTTTCTTTTTTCTCCAAGGTTTTCACAAACTGTCATTTCCACTGATTATTCTATTATTAGAATATAAAACTTATTAAAAATTAAAACATTTTCTCCCAAAGACTGTGGGATTCTGAGGGCCAGACTTATGCCATCTCCAGTGCCTACCCCCCACACTGCTCCTAGGACAGGGCCTGGTGTAGTTTTGGGCAGTCATCAGTAGTTAGTAAAAGAACGTAAAATGGGTCTATCCATATAATGGAATATTACTCAGCCACACACAGAATGAAGTTCTGACACTTGCTACAACATGGGTGAATCTTGAACACTATGCTAAGTAACAAACAAACAAACAAACAAAACAGACACTAAAAAACAAATATCCTATGATGCCATTTCTATGAAAGGTCTAAAGCAGCAAATCCATAGAGATAAGAAGTAAACTCGTAGTTGCCAGAACTGGGGGAGGGGAGAAGGGGAGTGACTGCTAAAGGGAGTAGAGCACAGGACATCGATGAACATGTCCTGGATTTAGATGGTGGCAGTTCCACAACCTTGTGACTATGCAGTAAGTTCCCTACATACAAACCTTCAAGTTACGAACTTCAACAAAGCACATCTGCGGGTTTTTATGTATTATTTCTCTCCACCAGGTGTCAGTATAGCCTGCTAAATACATGCTGGACTATATAGCCGATTGTGTTAATTAGGTACCTAGGCTAACTTTGTTGAGAGCCCGGCCCTAATTTTTTTTTTATTTTTTTAGAGCCAAGGTCTCACTATGCTGCCTGGGCTGGCCTTGAACTTCTGGGTTGAAGCGATCCTCCCATCTCACCCCTCCAAAATGCCGGGATTACAGGCATGAACCACTATGCCAGCCCTATCTGTTTTTTCTAAAACCTCAGTGTGGCCAGGAAAGGTGGCTCACGTCTGTAATCCCAGCACTTTGGGAGGCTGAGGCAAGAGGATTGCCTGAGCCCATGGGTTTGAGACCAGCCTGGGCAACATGACGAGACCTTGTCTCTACAATAAATTAAATAAATTAGCCAGGCATGGTGGTGCACACCTGTAGTTCCAGTTACTTGGAAAGCTAAAGTAGAAGGATCACCTGAACCCAGCAGGTTGAGGCTGCAGTGGCTGTGAGCGTCCTACTACACTCCAGCCTGGGTAACATACTGACCAAAGTCAGTATTATAATTTTTAATAACTTATTCTATTCTAATAATAGACCCTGACTCAATAAATAAATAAATAAATAAAAATAAAATCTCAGTGTGAGAACACCCATCCTTTAAGCACAGGATTATGCAACAGCTTGCTGTTTTTTATGTATTATTTCTCTATAATAAAGGACAATAAAGGACATGCTGATTGATTTTGTTTGCTGGTGGTGATGGGGGTGAGGTGCAGGGGGGTTCTTGTTATTTCTAGTGCTTTATTTGACCATCAAAGATAGGCTCGGTCACTTTAATACACCAGGATGGGAATTCGAACAAAGTCAAATAATTCAAGATAACATTTCTTGGCTCATCCCTGAGGTAGTATCAGTAATTCTTCATGCTAATGGCGATTCCAGTTGGTGGGTGCCTCATCTTCTGCGCACTATGAATGCACCAGACAGAAAGTCTGTAAATACATGGTCTTTCCGTCCTTTTTAGCCAGAACTACTTCTGCTTCCCTTTGTGGCTCCCAACTTCAGCCAGACAGTACTGTCTCATGGAATCCATCCAGCAATTCATCACCATAGTGTTTGGCCTTCAGAACAAACCAAGTTTGTCACCTGAAAATGAACCCTCCTTCAATAGTAGGAATGGAAAAGAAAATGGAACTCAAAGCCATTTCCAAACAGTGTTCTGCCGATTTTTTCTACTCCAAATTCCAACATTATTTTGGTACAACCCAAAATGGTCTAGACCATGTGGGGTTTGTCTTTGGTTTTGTGTGTGGTTTGTGTGTCCTCAGACAACATCTGGGGAAAATCACATTTTTAGAGCCCAGCTTTTAGAAAGCTTAATTACTCTGAGACATGAGTTCTGAACTGGGGGCCACTGTAGGCTTCCTGGGGACATTTGTCAATGTCTGGAAACAGTTTGGGTTGTCACAACTGGAGGTGGTGCTACTGGCATCTGGTTGGCCAATACTGGGAATGCTGCTAAACATCTTCCAATACACAGAACGGCCCTCAGGACAAAGAATAACTCAGCTCTGAGTGCTAACAGTGCTGAGGCTGAGTTGCCTGCTCTAAAGAAGAGTAGGTGGGTGAGGGTTTCAACAGAGAATCCAGTTCCATTTCTCTCCAATCCCAATGGCCCATTCATGTCCCTGGGTGTTTTTAAACATTCTAACTCTCAGATTCTCTCTGCCTTCTTCTTATACATCCAGCAGGTTATCATAAAATTAGAGCTGCCAAACACCTCCTCTTTTTTTTTTTTTGGAGTTGGAGTCTCACTCTGTCGCCCAGACTAGAGTGCAATGGCTGCTCGCAACCACCGCAGCCTCGACCTGCTGGGCTCCGGCGATCCTTCCGCCTCGGCCTTCCGCGTAGCTGGAACTACAGGTGCGTGCTACCACGTCCGGCTGATTTTTTGATTTATTGTAGAGATGAGGTCTTGTCAAGTTGCCCAGGCGGGTCTCGAACCCGCAGGCTCAGGCAATCCACTCACCTCGGCCTCCCAAAGTGCTGGGATGACAGGTTGAGCCACCAAGCCCAGCCAAAACACCTCCTCTTAAGGGCCAATTTGCTTGTTCATTACAAATTGTCAGTTCAGTTAAAACTCAATGCATGTCAAATGGTGATTTTCTTTTTCTTTCCCTCCCCACTCCCTCTTTCTTTCTTTCTTTCTCTTTCTTTCTTTCCTTTTTCTTTCCCTCCCTCCCTCTTTCTTTTCTTTTCTTTTCTTTCTTGAGAGAGGCTCTCACTCTGTTGCCCAAACTAAAGTGCAGTGGTGCCATCATAGTTCACTGTAGCCTTGAACTCTTGGGCTCAAGAGATCCTCCCACCTCAGTCTCTCAAGTGATCCTCCCACCTCAGTCTCTCAAGTATCTGGTACTACAGGCACACACCACCATGCCTGGCTAATTATTGTTATTACTTTTAGAGACAGTGTTTAGCTATGTTGCCCAGACTGGTCTTGAACTCCTAGCCTCAAGTGATCCTCCTGCCTCAGTCTCCTGACTAGTTGGGACTATAGGTGCAAAACACCACACCTGACAGCTTCTTCTTCTTCTTCTTCTTCTTATTATTATTATAGACAAGAACTTCACTATGCTGCTCAGGCTGGTCCTGAACTCCTGGGCTTAAGCGATCCTCTCACCTTGGCCTCCCAAAGCACTGGTACTACAGGCATAAGCCACCATGCCTGGCTGACAATGGAGATATTCAAACTTTTTCTCCTAGCCCAAAGATATTTTTGTGCTAAAACAAAACCTTACAAGAAACCCTAAGACAAAGGAGAGGAGTGTATTAGCAAGAATTTATTTCATAAGTTGCAATTTGAATTTTATAAAAAATAAATGTTGTAAGCAATCAGAACTACAAGAATGCTTTAGTCAACACAAAACTCTGAAACCAAAAACTCAAGTATCAACTTAAACATCTAATTTTTTCTGTGTTTTGATTTGGTTGTGCCATGCCAAAAAAAAATCTAGTTTTAAATGACAAAGGAGATGAAAATGTGATGGCTCTTAAGGGGTTCACCTTTGCACCTCAGGACTGTCTTCACTGAAACAAGAAGATCAGGAGAAAGGGATTCTGAGCTCCACACAAGTGAGCTACCCTGGAGGCCAAGTTAATGTGTCTGTGGTTAATATTTGATAGCTAGAACATTCAAGCATGCATAATTTTTATCACAGATTTTCATGTTAACTTTGGGGGGAAATTTGAATCTCTTTTTTTCTCTCTCTTTCTTTCATTTTTTAGTCAGAGTCTCACTCTGTCACCCAGGCTGGAGAGCAGTGGCAAACTCATGGCTACCACAGCCTACACCTGCTGGTTCAGGCTATCCTTCTGCCTCAGCCTTCCAAGTAGCTAGAACTACAGGTGTGCACCACCATGCCAGCTAGTTTTTTGATTTATTGTAGAGCTGAGGTCTCACCAAGTTGCCCAGGCTGGTCTCGAACACCTGGGCTAAGACAATCCCCTCACCTCTGCCTTCCAAAATGCTGGGATTACGGGCATGAGCCACTGTGCCCAGTTAATCTGTTATTTTCTTGTAAAGACTCTAGTGCTGTGCTCTTCAAGTTGTGCTCAGCAGAATCCTAATGTGGTGAGTAGAAGAGCCAGCACTAGCTGATTGGCTTTTCCTTTTAAACGCCTAAGTGAGCTGGACAAATTAAACTGCACCTATAAAGAGGTCATGTCATAACATTCCTTGCCTCAACAGTAAGTGTATCAAGAGGTTTAAATTGACAATGTAGACTGGGTGTGGTGGTTCATGCCTGTAATCCCGGTACTTTGGGAGGTGGAGGTGGGAGAATCTCTTGAGGCCAGGAGTTTGAGATCAGACTGGGCAACATAGAGAGATCCCGTTTCTACAAAAGAATGAATAATTAGCCAAGTGTGGTGGTGCCTGCAGTCCTAGCTATTTGAGAGACTGAGGTGGGGAGATCACTTGAGGACAGGAATATGAGGCTGCAATGAGCTGTGATTGCACCATTGCACTCCAGCTTAGTGACAGAGCAAAACCCTGTCTCAAATAAATAAATAAATAGGAAGTGACAATTTATCATATATTCAAACTATCATCCAGCCTAAGTGGGAGCCAGTTATAATTCATACAAGGCTACAGAGCTCAATAACTAAACAAAAGGCACCACAGAACTATAAAAAGGAGAGGTGGATGATGAAATGCAAGAGTAAAGCCAATAGCAGCTACTGGAACTTTCCATTTGTACCCTGAAGTTCACTGTTCACATCATGGATGCCTCCTCCACACCAGGTCACCTGATTGTTTGATCAAAGATTTCCAAGGGGAGCTCTGGGGCCCCAAAGGTCGCCTGCCCTGGCACACAGGGTGTTACCTTCAGACAGCATGCTCAGGGCTTCATCAGAGGTCTGCCCACCGACTCGCAACACCTTCCTGGAAGCAGGGTTTTCATGGGGTACACGGGAGCCCACAGGAGATGGGTGAACCCCCTCAGCAGCTGAGGTTGTCAACGATTCCCACTGGATCTCCTTCCTGGAAGACTGAAAATCCAGGCTGCATCCTGTCCAGCCATAGAAGGCCAGAGACAAGAGAAATCCTTGAGCTGGATTCAGTATCCCCTGGAAGGACAAAAACCACATGGCAGTCGGTACAGTATAGCAGGAGTCAGGGCATTCAGCTGTCACAGAGTGATCTGCTCCACTCAGGATGCCCACAGGGCAGGCCTCACTTGGAAGTGACTGGTTGGTGTGTAGGTTGGTTGGTTGGTTGTTGGTTGGTTGGTTGGTTGGTGGGTTTGTGGGTTGGCCAACTGGTGGGTTGGTTGGGATGGGTTGGTGTGTTAACCGGTAGGTAGGCTGTTAGTTGATGAATTGTTGGGTGGGTGGGTGAGTTGGTTGGCTGGTCAGTGGGTTGGTTGGTTGGTTGGCTGCATGGTTTGGGGCAAGACTAGTAACGCTAGGAGGTGCTGTACCTTCAAGGGTGCCTGAAAATAGAGGAGGTATGGAGAGCAGAGGGGAGGGGAGGCAGAGAAGCTGGATAAGAGAGGGGAAGAGACAGGACAAGAGGGAGGAGAGAGAAGGAGAAAGGGGGAGGGCAAAGGGGAGGAGAAGAAAAGGGGGGGGAGTGGGAGAGGAAAAGGGGAGGCTATGCTCTAACGCAAGTGACTGAACAGTCATGCCCTCATCACTGCCAAAGGGGCTGTGTTCTCCCGTTGTTCTCTCTCCACTTTTTGCTGTCAGGGCAACATTTGATTTTTAAAAGTTTTTTGACACTAAAGATGAGCCTGGGAAACACTCCTCCTCTAGCATGTGGTAAGTGTACGTAAAGTTAACGAAGGAACCGAGCAAAGCTCCAAACAAAAACCCAGGGACCAAGTGGGCTATATCTGGTCTTATTTACAAGTCCCTGTGAACAAGATTGTCCTCAATTCGAAGTAACATGAACGTTGATTCTGTGCATTTCTTAGATAGATGTCATATAATGGAAACAGGAGAAAAGACCACCCATGGTTCTTCCACCATATCATCACTTCCTGAATTTCCATTCAATGTTTTATATCCATATGTTTCCATGTAGTTGTAATTGGCATAGTTGTATATTCCACATTTTCCACTTAATGCTAGAGATTTCATAATTGTCATTTTTAACATCTGGGTAACATTCGATAAGGATGAAAGACCATAATTTACTTAACCATTTCTGGCTTTATAATTTTTTTAAAATTTGGGTTGCCTAAAATGCTTCACAATTATGGATAATGTGACCAGGAATGTCTTCATCTCTGTGACTTTTTAAGGTCTGAAATAGCCCTTCAAGATAAAGACTCTGATATTGTGATATTGCTGGAAAGGCTTGACACACTGTGCCAAACTGATTGATCAAGGTTGTAGCATTTAATAATGATCCCAACAATGAACAAAACTAGCTAGCTAATACACCAAGGCCAGGAACCTATTCAATTCACTCTGTATTTAAATAACAATACATCGTACTTCTGAGTGGTTTTTTCTTCTGATTTTTTTTTTCAACAGAAAATTTAAAATCTAGATCACAGCCAGGCGTGGTGGCATACACCTGTAGTCCCAGCTACTCAGGAGGCTGAGGTGGGAGGATCACTGAGCCCAGGGTCAAGCTGTAGTGGGCCATGACTGTGCCACTGCACTCCAGACTGGGTGACACAGCAAGACTCCATTTCTAAAATTTATTTATTCACTTATTTAAAATCGAGATTCACCTACCATAATAAACCATGTGGTCTTGGCTGCAGTTCTGACACGTTTCAAAGAGCCTCCATTGATATCCGTTTGCATCTCAAGATAGAATAAAAGGCTTTCATTGATGATATTTGACAACCAACTGTTAGAAAGAAAATGGTCATAGGTAAAGAGAACATGCAATAAAATAGGTTTATAAATGCTGGGGTCAGGGAACAATTTCTCCCAAGGCCTCAACGTACTAACTCTCTGGAAAGATGACCACTTCAGCAGTAAGAAATTACAAGGACCCAGTACACCAAGAATTTAATTTTAAAAATATAACTCCTTCTCTCAGTCTAAAGCAGAGATCAGCAAATCCTTCCTCAACACCACATCAGGGTGAGAGGTTCTAGCACTGTAGCAAATACCTCACAATTAATTATTTGTTTGAGGAGCAACCGAAAGTTTTGATGGAGACCAAACAAATCTTATCTTGACATTTTATGTTGGGATTGAAGAATGTTATTCTAGTTGGGTCCTCTGTCCTCTGTACATTTTTAGTGGAAGATAATTTACATCTCTACTAGAAGAGTGTCCAAAGAATCCTCCTCATACCAGCTGAATTATTAGCACCACAAGAGCTTGCCCTGTCCTGCAAAGCACTGATTAACCACAGGGCAATATGTCCTGATCCCAGTCGTTTTTGCATTGTCACAGGTCTAGTTTCAAAGCATCCACCCGAAATGTTTGGGCAGGATGCCAAGGATAGGGAAACCGAGGAGAAAAAAACTGCTCAGCCTGTTCTCTACCCTTCTTGACTGAGCAATGAGTCTTCACAGCAAACATGTGCCCTTGCCTCTCTGTCAGATGCAGAAATTCTGGTGTCAAGAGTGAGACAGAGCCGGGCTCAGTGGCTCAGCCTGTAATCCCGCGCCTTTGGGAGACTGAGGTGAGTGGATTGCCTGAGCCCGCGGGTTCAAGACCCGCCTGGGCAGTGAGACCTCATCTCTACAATAAATCAAAAAACTAGCCGGGTGTGGTAGCGCGCGCCTGTAGTTCCGGCTACTTGGAAGGCTGAGGCGGAAGGATCGCCAAGCCTAGCAGGTCAAGGTTGCGGTGGCCATGACCATGCCATTGCACTCCAGCCTGGGCAACAGAGTGAGACTCCAAATAAATAAACAAACAGACAAGCAAACAACTGACATTGAAAAACAAAACAAGCCGGGCTTGGTGGCTCAGCCTGTAATCCCGCGCCTTTGGGAAGCTGGGGTGAGTGGACTGCCTGAGCCCACGGGTTCGAGACCCGCCTGGGCAGGCGAGACCTCATCTCTACAATAAAATTAAAAAAAAAAAAATTAGCCGGGCGTGGTAGCGCGCGCCTGTAATTCCGGCTACTCGGAAGGCTAAGGCGGAAGTATCGCCAGAGCCCAGCAGGTCGAGGCTGCGGTGGCTGGGAGTGGGCACTGCACTCCAGTCAGGGCGACACAGTGAGACTCCAACTCAGAAAAAAAAAAAAAAAAAGTGAGACAGATGGGTGAGTTTAAAAAGCGTGACCAACCATTTTACTTTGGTTCACCCCAGCAATGAGGCTAAATACTGATGTACGTGCTTAGGACATTTAACATCTAAATTTGGGAGTTTTTGTTCTAAGACCTTTATTCATGATTTGAGTAGTTTCGAATATCCTTCCAGAAATTCATGAATTTTGGACCTACTCCCTTGTTCTCTGCATTTCCTCAAAGGGCACCTAGCACAATCTCAAAGACTTTGCAATTTTCGGGCACTCTTGGAAAAGCAAAATGGCAAGTTGTTTACATATCCCCTCCCAATGGCAATAAAAAAAATGAAAATGTTACCAAATAATTAAAACCAGCATTATTTTGAAAAATCGGGTCTTGATCATGGCTCCCATACGTCTCTCGTTCTCTGTGTAAATGCCTTGCCTTCCCTTTAGTAAAGAGGCCACTGTGGAGAACAGGGAACCACACACAGTGTCATTATTCATGTTGACTGAGTAACAGAGAAAGCAGTCAAAGCAGATGTGAGCCCAAAGCCAGAGCACACCCCTGACATTCACTCCTCACAACTTCCAGGCTGTAGTCTTCATAAACTCTAAGCAATATGTTTGTTTGTTTGGAAATCTCACTCTGTCGCCCAGGCTAGAGTGCAGGCAATCCTCTTGCCTCTGCCTCCCAAAGTTCTGGGATTACAGGCATTAGCCACTGCGCCCAGCTCAATTTATGCTTTTAACACTTTTTTTTTTTTTGAGCCAGGCACGGTGGCTCACACCTGTAATCCCAGCACTTTGAGAAGCAAGGGCAAGAGGATTACCTGAGCCCAAGGGTTCAAGACCAGCCTGGGCAACTTGGCAAGACCCCGTCTCTACAATAAATCAAAAATTTAGCCAGGTGTGGTGGTGCACACCTGTGGTTCCAGCTACTTGGAAGGCTGAAGCAGAAGGATCACTTGAGCCCAGCAGGCCAAGGTTGTGGTGGCTTTGAGCGTGCCACTGCACTCCAACCTGGATGACAGAGTGAGATGCCAACTCAAAAAAACCAAAATCTTGTTTTTTTAAGAGGTTCTCGCTCTGTTGCCCAGGTTGCAGTACAGTGGCAAGATCATAGTTCACCGCAGCCCAACTCCTGGGCTCAAGAAATCCTCCTGCCTCAGCCTCCCAAAGTGCTGGGACTAAGGTGTGAGCCACTACACCCAGCCAAGAACTATATTTTTAAAGGTTTGTTTTCTTTATTATAAAAATAATTCACAGCTGGGTTTGGTGGCTCAGTCTGTAATCCCAGCACTTTGGGAGGCCGAGGTGAGTGGATTGCTTGAGCCTGCAGGTTCGAGACCAGCCTGGGCAACTTGGTG